CTTGTGTGGAAATCTACGTTGGCCCAGTAGTGCAGAACCCAACGAAATCTCCACAACACAACGGAAACAAGCAGCAACACAACAAAATTAGCACAACACAGTGGAAACAAGCCGCAACACAGCGGAAACAAGTCACAACACAACGCAAATTAGCACAACACAACGGAAACAAGCAGCAACACAACAAAATTAGCACAACACAGTGGAAACAAGCCGCAACACAGCGGAAACAAGTCACAACGCAAATTAGCACAACACAGCAGAAACAAGTCACAACACAACGGAAACAAGCCACAACACAACAAAATTAGCACAACACAATGGAAACAAGCCGCAACTAGGCCTGTCGCAATAATCAATATATTGACTTATCGCGCAATATATGTACATGACCTCAATAATTTTTAGTGACGCAATATATCGCCAATTATATTTACTTAAAAATTAATGGCACCATGTTTTGTACATTCCACTTGTGCCTGTGTCTTTTGCAGCTTCTCGTACATAACGTGGTGTAGTCATGAGGTGCTAATTCAAATTAAAAAAATTATTTAACAAAAAAAAGCTTTATCTGCAGATATGGTCTTGTTTATGCTCTTGCCAGCCTTGCACATTTTTCTTTTTTTTCTTCTTGTTACTTTGCACTTTTTGTTAGAAAATGTTTATTTACTATTTATTCAGGTTTTTTAAGGTATCTAATATTTTGATACTTAATTTCCATGATCTAAATATTCTTAAAAATGAAAATTGGGTGTCATTTGGAAGTGTGTAGGCCTTCTTGCATTATTATGCTGTTACATTATGATTATATATTCAGTGGCATAAAATGGTCTTTAAAATGACAATAATATTGCTTATCGCAATTATTTCTGGGGCAATATATCGCACAACAAAAAGTTGTTATTGTGACAGGCCTAGCCGCAACACAGTGGAAACAAGTCACAACACAGCATAAATTAGCACAACACAACGGAAACAAGTCACAACACAACGTAAATTAGCACAACACAATGTAAACAAGCCACAGCACAATGAAATGAGCTGCAACACAATGGAAACAAGTCGCAACACAACAAAAACAAACCACAACACAACGATATTAGCCCTATATGTTGTGGCAATTTCATTGTGTTGTGGATATTTCGTTGTGTCGTGCACTACTGGGCCACTGTAGAAACCAGCAACCAGTACTATTCTGCAAAATCCTTCTTTTGTGCTCTATGGATGAGAGAAAGTCATACAAGTTTGGAACGACAAAGGAGTGAGTAAATAATGACAGTGTTCATTGAGGCCAAGACTACACTTTGAAAAAGGCTTCTGCTACATGCTGCGCAACACAGTGGAAACAAGTCACAACACAGCATAAATTAGCACAACACAATGGAAACAAGTCACAACACAACGTAAATTAGCACAACACAATGTAAACAAGCCACAGCACAATGAAATGAGCTGCAACACAATGGAAACAAGTCGCAACACAACAAAAACAAACCACAACACAACGATATTAGCCCTATATGTTGTGGCAATTTCATTGTGTTGTGGATATTTCGTTGTGTCGTGCACTACTGGGCCACTGTAGAAACCAGCAACCAGTACTATTCTGCAAAATCCTTCTTTTGTGCTCTATGGATGAGAGAAAGTCATACAAGTTTGGAACGACAAAGGAGTGAGTAAATAATGACAGTGTTCATTGAGGCCAAGACTACACTTTGAAAAAGGCTTCTGCTACATGCTGGGTCTTGCTAAACGGCCACCTGTGTATATGGAAACCGTATTGAGGAAGTGAACAAAGACACCGAGCAGGAGTCTTGGTACTGGATGACACTGAGGCCTGTCTCCACAACAACAGAAGCTCTGAGCCACAGTTCTGGCCCACTCACTCTACACACAGAGCAGCTACCCTTCATAACACAAAGAGCGCTCACACTCCATTTGTGAACAGCCATGGTGTGTGATAGTGCCAAAATACTGCTCATCAAACTTCAGCACATAACTTCTCCCAGGCTGTTTTGCTACAGACATAAATGATAACTTAGCTCATGCAACTTATTGAGGAGAGGTGTGCTATTACTTTCCTAAAGGCATTTTACACAGCTGAGTTAAGGCTGCTCTGTGCCTGCTTAAAATTCTGTGTAAAGACATAATGTCGCATAAAAGCCAGACTAAATTATGCCTGCTCTCATATGGTTATCTTTGCTGTGTAAATGCATTCATGCCACCTCTGAGCAGTATTAATCAGTCTGTGTAAAGACACCTAAAAGCCACTTCAGAAGTGTCTCTGTGTCACCTTTGCAGTGTCAATTTTGCACGAGTGACCTGATTTAAAAAAAAACACTGAAAGTGGGACCCGAATATTCTAGAACGCAAAATATCAGAGATTTGAAGGTGGACCTTTTTGACTTGCGTTGGTAAGTAAAAACCTACCAACCACCCAGAACACCTTAGGAACCACACAACAATGCTCTGACAACTACCAAGCATTAAAAAAATTTTCATGTCCATGCCAGTAGCATTTGTGGAAATATGTTGTACTTGAAACAATACAATATTACAGAATCAATTGCCACCGATTAAAATCAACACTGGCGCAGAGTGAGATAACATTTCTACAATATTTTCCATAAACAGCAATCTCATTTTTCTAACCAGTGATCGTGTTTTTACAGAACAAAGGTGTTTGGACCCTCTTGAAGATGAATGAAGGCTGTTGCTACTCGACCCAAACAACACATTTCCTCTCAAGAGGACTGAGAGACCTGTTCACCACGCCACCAGTGTTGACATTGACAACTTCACTCCTGTATTTTGCCACGGATTGGGGGCTGGTTTGGGAGAGAACCACATTAATAATTCCCTGAGGTTTGGAGCGAGTGGGACGTACAAAACAGGGCAACAAGAATCAGTGTTTTTGTGCATGTTATCGGACTAGTGCAGACTGCACCCAGCCCCCCACTTCCTGTCTCGCTGCCAGGAAACCAGCAGCTGCATTTAAACACAGTGGACCTGCACATGCATATGCTGTCCATAGAAACAGTACCAGGCCAAAGTATGACTGGCCAGTATTTGGTGTACTATACATTTCATATTTAAAATATATTTGCTTCATATATTCGACTTCCTGCTTACAATACCTGGACGCTCTAAACAAAGGTCTTTGCTTCTTAAAAATACACATATTAACCAGAATTCAATAGAAAAATATGCGTCAACCAATCACATATTCTGAATAACATGATTCTTGAATTCTCATTCCTATAATATGATCTTTGTCTTCAAATGTGCAGCATGAAAGGTCAACCGCATTCATTACTAAGAGTCTCAAAGCCTATTTTCAAATTTAAATCAGTTCAAGTGCCAACACAAATAGCAATGCCCCATATTACTTGGCCTGGAAAGTAGAAACTTACAAACAGTTCGATTAAAACGAAAAATATAGTTGTACAAATGCAAAACTTACAGTTGTTGGTCGACATGGGAAATGCACATTATGCAGAAGTAGCGGGAGGAAGTGGTGTTTGCTAAGCATATGTTACCTTGTGGGGAACTCTGTCGGCCAATGAGATCACATTGAACGCATCACAGACACTTTTGAATAGATGTGGCAAAATGACTTGCTTTCAAGTGTCATTAAAACGATCAATCAACTCACAATCATTTGGTTCCTGGGTGGAATCAAAATCAAAATAAAAACTGTTGGTCTTTGTTTGATGCCCATCAGCTTCTGTTTGAAATCCAAAGGTCAGGACTTATGACTTTGTAGTTTTCCAGAGGCACTCTAGTGGGACTCTTGTTAAACATATCACAGCAGGAGGCGTCCGGTCTCAACAGCCACGCTAGAAACCATAGTCAAAGATCAATACCGGTCTAGGTCAGAGGGACCTTTATGAAGTGTTTGTGGAACTAGAGCAGACTTTGATTCTCTCGCAGAACATTTGCCTCACAAAGTGAATTATCGTGCACTAAATGAAAGCTTGAAAGCATGTATACCTTGAATAGTTTGCACAAAAATGACAATTCTACATCATTTACTCAATCTTATGGTGTTCAAAATCCATTAGATTTTTAGCGCCTAGTTGAAGCCCATTTCCGCCCACTAAATAAAGATAAAAAAGTCATTGCTACTTTTTATCTCCCAATAAAGAATTTTTTTTCTCTCACTTGCGTATTAAAATCTCCAAATTTTGACCTTTTTTCTCAGAATTGTGACAAACTCACAATTATGAGTTATAAAGTCAGAATTGTAAGATTTAAACTTGTATTTCTGACTCTTTTCTCATAATTGCACGTTTATATCATGCAATTCTGAGAAAAAAAAAGTCAGAATTGGGAGATGTAAAAATTGTAATTGCAAAAAAAAGTCCAAAATTGCGTGATATAAACACGCAATTCTGAGGGGGGTTTTCTCACAATTACGATTTTACACAATTTTGACAATTTTAACATGCAAATGTAAAAACTCGCAATTCTGAAAAATATCAGTCTTTTTCCCCCAGAATTGGACTTATAACTAAGTTTATATCTCAAAATTCTGCAAAAAAAGTCAGAATTGTGAGTTTATGTGGCGCAACTTTATATCTCGTAACTTTGGCTTTATAACTTGCAATTGCAAGTTTATATCACGCAAATCTGAGGGGGAAAAAAAAACAGACCCGCAATTCTCAGAATTGCGAGATGTAAAAATTATGAGATAAAATTATGAAAAAAAAAAGTCGCAACTACCTTTTTTATTTTTTATTCAGTGGCGGAAACGGGCTTCCATAAAAACATTTAAAAACGAACATAACTCAAACAACTTAAAAAAAATAAATAAACTGAGGGGTATGTAACCTTGCATGTAAAAAACTGCAAGGGGTAAATACATATGAATGTAACTATATAAACTGAGTTACTGAGAAAACAAAACCAGACATAAAAATGTAACTGATATTTACTAAACGAAAACAAAAGTGCAAATAGATTCTTTTTACTGTGACATCAGAATCTGTTCAGCCATTAAAACACATCACACTGCATTTAAATGAACAAATAAACACAAAAAATACATATACTGCTAATACACATGACAAACGTCTCCTGTTGCATCAGATCCAGTCAGCATCTAGATCTTCATCGTCTATGACAGATGAGCTGAACAGTGAAAAACCTTTGAGGAGTCCTGCGGGGCCTCCGGAGCCCAACTCAAAACATCTCCTCTTCTTTGTAGTGTTCTCTCCGGCTTCTTCCTGTCTGTCGGAGGGCTTTGTCCTCATGTTGCCCGTCTGCATTGTGGTGGCCTTCGCATCTGTGGTTATATTTTTCCTGGTCTGTGTGCTTGTGTTCTCCTGGTCTTCAGAAACCGGGTTTGCTGGCACTTTGTTTGTACTGCCGTTTGTAGCTGGGACTGTTTTATCACCAGTGTTTTCCTCAGATGAGGCCGTAAAAGAGAATCTAGAAAGTTTAGCCAGAGTTGAACTGGCCACCTTCACATTTGGGTGGTCTGTCCTTGGTGGGGATTGTGGGTGTTTATTAGTGTTGCCATTATTCTCACCTGGAGAGTGGCTGTTGAGTCTGGACAGCAGCTGTTGTTGATGTTCAGTGTCCTCAGACATCCCTTTCTGAGCTGTGCTCACATCATTCAAGACCAGAGAGGAAAAGTCTTTGGTTTTATTGTTAGTTCCTAGCCGGGGTTTCTCATTAGCTCTGCTGCCCTCTGCTGGACGACGTGAGCTTGACCGATTCCCACTTTCGGGCCGTGTTTCTGGCATCTGAGGTGCGGTAGAATTCGCTCCCTCATGCACCGCCACTTTAGCACTCGCTTTCGCAACCGACTGATCGGCATGAATCATTCTCTCTCTGGGCTTGAATGTGAAGTTTGTGAGTTTGCTGCGTAAATCCTCGCTCTCGGCTCTGATGTCAGGACTAATGGTTGTGTTTTTTCTTTTTGAGGGTTTCTTCCCCGTTTTGGGTGTACTGTGGGAGAATATCTCCTCTAAATCGTCGCCTGTCTCTCCTAAAACTTGTTCCTCGCTCAGCAGGAGGGATGCTTTCATCTCTTTCAACCGTTTGGCTCTGAGCTTTTTGGAGCCCTTTTCCACAACGGCCTCAACCACGGATGGATCCACCTCCTTCTCCCACGCAGAACCCTTGCGGCGTATGGAATGGCTGTTGCTAGGTAACACCGCCGTGCCGCCCAGTGTGGTGGTGGCATTCTGTGTGGAGGTAACGATGGGGGAGGTGTGAACGACAGAGCTGGATAAGGAGTGGAACCAGTACAGGCTGGGGTCTGAATCAGTGGTCACTTCACCATTACTGTGATTCTGACCAGTTGGACACTCGCTGGTGTGGTTACTACGTGGTTCGGTCCCTTTAGGGGAGTCCGGTCTTCGGCTATTTAGCCTAAAGTCGAGCACAAAAGATGTTCTAAGGAGAATCTCAGATCTTTAAAGGGCTCAGATGAATTTTAGGCAAGTTATGTGCTGTAAAATATGGAAGCCCGTTTCCGCCACTGAATAAAAAAATAAAAAAGGTCATTGCTTTTTATCTCACAATTCTGACAATTGCATGATACAAACTATAGATATACACTTGAAATTGCAAGTTATAAAGTCAGAATTTCGAGATATAAACTTGCAATTGTGAGAAAAAGTCAGAATTGCGAGATGTAAACTCCCAGTTGCGAGGAAAAAAAACTTTATTCAGTGGCAGAAATGGGTTTCCATATTAAAATGTATATATACATATTTTAATAATGACATTTTATATTTTACTATTAATAGAAGTGAATATATTAAAACCAGGTTACAAAATTACATAATACATTTTATTTTTGATGTTTGATTCATATTACTAATTAAATACATATACAAATAAAACTGTATTTTAAAACGAAAACTAATAATACTAACTGGTAAAATTATATATATATATATATATATATATATATATATATATAGTATTATTACTATCAAATATTTATTATTATTATTATTATTATTATTATTATTATATTTAAAATGAATACAAATTAAATTAACTTAATTTTACTATTATAATATATTTATATTTACTACATATTAATCGAAATAATAAGTATAATTTATATTATATTAAATACTATTTTGTATTTAAACATACATATTTTATCATGAATATTACATATTAATACAATTCTCTTTTGTATTTGATAATACTTTTTATTTATAGTACAAATTAAATAAAATTGTATTTTAAATTGATCATTTCCGTTTTACCTTGAAAGTCTTTGAAGTTCTTTCTGTAGGATATCAGTCAATCCCAGCCTCTCAAGCACAATCTCACACTGTGTTTTATACTGTTCACAGGGGTCGTCAGGGAAAGAGGTGTGTAGAGCATTCACATTTCCAAGTAGAGCGCCTCCCTGAGGCAAACATAAAAATATGCTTATCCAGTCCTCAACAATTGAATATAGCTTCCGGATGAAGTAGTAATAAACAAACCTGCATGGAGCACTCCATAACAGACACCACAACAACAGCGTCCTCTACTGTCACTGTCTCTCTGAACATCAGCCTGGCATGAGCTGAAACACAAAGAGAGATGAGCATCAACTCTGATGAGATGAGCGTCAGATATTATGCTGCATGTGAGCATCTGACCCTCGGCGAGGCGGCTGAGACTCTCCAGCATACGGATGGTTGTACGGGAGGCGTTACGGCTGTCGCTCTGTCTCTGAAGCTGATAGTAGCGGCTCAGGATGGTGTTTGCTTCCTGTGTTATACAAGGCTTAAGAGTCTTGATCAGGCAGAAATAGGCCCTCATCTTCTCCATACTCCATAAACATGAAGACTCACTCGGCGCTCCTGTGGGAAAAACACGAGAGAAGAGAGTCGAGAGAAAAGGAGAGATGTTAAGATGAATATTTTATAAATATTCAACAAATGGCAAGGCTTCATCATTAACTTCTAGTCGGTATCAAAGAGTTTCTCAGCCAAATGAGGGGTGAACCAGCCCTCGAGGGGACAAGTTTTCCTATCAAAGTGGCATCACTTGGGAAAATAACGAAGACTGAACAAGCAACAAATCCCATGAGGGAAGCAGGAAGCAGCAGTCAAGCTGGATGGGGTCTGATCCAATAACACATCAGATGACACCTCACAAACTACATCTTTTTTATGTCATGTACAACAAAAACCTGCACTATATGAGCCAGGTATAGTTAAAAATGTGCCAAAAAATATATTCATGGACCAGGACATGATTCAAATGAAGGGGGGAAAAAAAGGAAATTTTGTAGGGATGGCCTAGAAATGCAGGCCCAAAAAATTATTATCATAGATATGTGTAACATATTATATTGGAAATATTTGAATTTCTACAAAGAATATTATGCAAAATAATATATAATATATTACTTTTAATAAATAATATAATTACAAAATATTTTATACAATTATATAAATAAGTACATAAAATGCTATGTAAATCCAAATATATGGTTATAAGCCTGAAAATGTAAATTTTGCATACAAATATATAGTTCTAACTATATATTTGGAATTATGTTTATATGTTTAGAATTATAACTTTATATTCAGGATGTCCAAATATATATTCAGATTTCACATATTTATTTGTTCTTTCAACCTTCAAAATATAATATAATATAATATAATATAATATAATATAATATAATGAAAACCCCTGATATTACAAAACAAAAGATTCCTCTCTGGGACAAATCTTTATATAAATTTACATATAATATCTATATATATCTATATATATATATATTTAGTCCTCATTTGTAAGTCGCTTTGGATAAAAGCATCTGCTAAATGACTAAATGTATTCAGATTTCACATAATATGCACCTACTTTGAAAACCCCTGATATTACAAAACAAAATATTTTTCTCTGGACCAAATATATATTCAGATTTCATAATTTATTTCCTCTTTTGCCCTTCATAGTATAACACAAAATAATATAATATAATGTAATGTAATGTAATTTAAATGTAAAATAATATAACATGCACCTACTTTGAAAAACCCTGATATCACAAAACAAAAGATTCTTCTTTGGGACAAACCTTTATTCTGCAGGATAAAGGAGGAGATTATTTTGTCCCATTCTGGGTTTTTAGTATCTAGCAGAACCAGTACGAGGTCAAAGCGGCTCAGGAGGGGGCTGGCGAGGGCCACGTTCACAGAAACTGAGACATTAGGGTCATACTGCCCCTTTGGGTTTGTAGCTGCCAGGATGGTGGTCCTTGTGTCCAGTTTGCACACCATTCTAAAAAAGAGGAACATGTGACATTTAATGTGATGCTCACAAGCATTTGGTTAATTAAAAAAAATGAAAGAAGACATTATTTCCCCCAGCACTCACCCGGCTTTGGCCACGCTGATGGTTTGTTGCTCCATGGCCTCGTGGATGCTGGTGCGGTCATGTTCTTTGATGCTGTTGAATTCATCAATGCAGCACAGACCTCCATCAGAGAGAACGAGGGCTCCTGCTTCCAGATGCCACTGTCCAGAGTCCTTAACAGCCGCCACTGTCAGACCTGACCAGCATTTCACAATGATACAAACAATGATGCAACAGCACTAAATGCTCATTGAACAGTAGAAGTGGATAGTGTCTAGTATGTGCATGCAGCAATCTGAAGTATACAACAATATTTAACTTCAAAGGATGTGGACAAAAAAAAAAAACATCAGACACGGCACACCACCTCAGTACTACACAAAGTTTAGTTCTGGCTCTATTTAGCTTTTATTTCTTCACAAATATTAGGAGTTTGAGTAGGAAGAATTATACTATTTATATTAACTTACATAAATACTCTACCACTAAGTTGAGTAGGTACAATTTTTTAAATATTAAAAAAAAAAAAGTTTATGCCCACCAAGGCTTCATTTATTTAATCAAAAATACACTAAAATATGTGAAATATAATTGCAATTGAAAACAGCTATATTTACTTTAATATATTTTAAAATGCAATTTATTCCTGTGATGCAATGCTGAATTTTCAGCAGCTCCAGTCTTCAGTGATTGTCTCCAGTCTTCACATGATTTTTCAGAAATCATTCTAATACGCTGATTTGGTGTTCAACAAAAATGTATTCTTATTATAATTGTTTTTGTGGAAACCATGTTAATTTTTTCATGAGTCTTTGATGAACAGAAAGTTCAAAATAACATTTACTTGAAATAGAAAGCTTCTGTAATATTATAAATGTCTTTACCATCACACTTGTTTGATTTAATGTAATAATTTAAACTTATTTATAAAAGTATATTAGCTCTGGTTGTATACTGCACATCTTGAATGTGCATACAGAAATTCTGCATACTGTTGTTCACAGTATAAATACCACAGTTCAAAAATGAAAATTCTGTCATCATTTACTCACCCTCATGTTGATTCAAACCTATATGAGTTTCTTTCTTATGATGAAAATGAAAGAAGTTTTGAGCAATGTTGGTAGCCAACATTTGCTGGAAGCCATTGACTTCCATAGTAGTGAAAAAACAACAGAAGAAAGAAACTCATACAGGTTTGGAACAACATGAGGGTGAGTAAATGATGACCATTTTCATTTTTAGTGAACTACCCCTTTAAGCAAAGTATACTGTTATGCAATTAAGAACTTTCCCCTAGAGCGCTGATTGTGAACGTTAATGAGAAGGTGATGTGAGGTTCAGAAGAACGCGTGGAACCTGCATTAGTAGATCCGATTCCTGCAGTAAGCACAGAGCGTGGTGTAATCTTAGCCGCGTACTTCAGAAACTGTGACTTCCCAGTGCCTGGATCGCCCACGAGCAACAGATGAGACTCTCCTAAACAGAACGCATGCTTTGAGTCAGAACTATTCACAAGAGCAATACACTTTTCAAGCACACCTCTGAACTTTGTATCACGATAAGTCTAAATGTCAGACTGCCCATTATGTGGAACCTGAACGCATACCTCTCACCTTGGTTCCAGACACATCTATTCTCTGTACCCCACCTGCCAAAACCATAGCAACAGCCAGCTTGACAACGTACATGCCGAACACCTGAGGGCAAAGGCTCATCAAGATCTCATTCCTGCCTTCAGAATGTCAAGAGAAAGAGAGACCGAAAGAAAGAATAAGACAGACATATTTTATGATTCATAAACCCACACTGAATCCCATGAGCTGTTTTACTTTATGATTGGCTGCTAGGGTGTTCTAGGCCATTACTAGGTGGTTCTCTCCCCCCCCCCCACACTTTTTCTAACATCAATGAGAAAATCATGCATTTGACTGTTTAGAAAAGTAATAAAACACTTTTGCTCAAAAAGCCACATGATTGAGGTATTATTCATGTTCACAACACAAACGATACAGAATGAGTTACATGCCAAAGTTTAATACTTGCCGTTATGGATTTGTTCAAATCCCTAACCCAATAACCCTATGAGCAATAGTAGCCTAACAGTGATAGTCTTAGAAAACACCACTGGCAACAGATTACAACATTGTTTCATGCACCAAATTAACTGAATTTCCTCTACAGGGATTATAATTGAGTTTGTATAGCAATAGAGAAGACATGGTATTAAAGGGGTTATATGACGTTGCTAAAAAAGAACATTATTTTGTGTATTTGGTGTAATAAAAAATGTTTATGCGGTTTAAGGTTAAAACAACACATTATTTTCCACATACTGCACATTATTGTTTCTCCTCTATGCCCCGCCTTTCTGAAATGCGTCGATTTGTACAAAGCTCATCGTTCGGAAAAGCGAGGTGTGCTCTGATTGGCCAGCTATCCAGTGTGTTGTGATTGGCCGAATACCTCAAGCATGTGACGGAAATGTTACGCCCCTTACCATACTGTGATAATGCCCTGTCCGGCCGGAGCGACGAGACAAAAACATTAAAAGCCATTATAAACGAGGCATTTGTTGCATCCAGTGGGGACATAATTACTGATTATAATGACTTATACTGTCTTTTTACGCGTTGCATCGCGCCACGTAAACATAAAACCATATCTGCATTTGTGATCGGAGAAACGACAAACAACTAGCACTGCTCTACACTGCTCAAAACTCGCGTTTGAATCGTCAGTGGCAAATCCTTTAAATATGAAAACGTACTTACAGGCTGTGAGTCAGCATTATTTGTCAGAACACCGACATTGTAGTCTACTCTCTCAGGAAACAGTCCTTGTCCTCCGTAAAAATGCGCTACACACATCTGAATATTTGGTTTGAACTGTTCTGGAACAGTGTTGTAAATACAACTTAACCACTGATGTCTAGTTGTGTCCTCTTTTGCTAGTCTTGATGTGAACAATTAATCCGTGCAAGTTAATCTGCTGAAAAACTTTTTTTTTTGTCTTGGTAATCTTTTATCAAAATCTGAACATTTGCTTCCACTCTGGAATGGCATTCCATCTCTGATGACGTCAGTTTGACAGCTTGGGCAGAATATCCTTAAACACACCCCTCCAACCGTTAGGTTGCTATGAGTGAGAGACAGAGAGGAGGAGCGCAAAAATAAAACTACGCCCTCTATTCAATATTCAATTTCAGCTGGAAATACGTCACTACACTGAAATAAAGTCAGCAGCAACTTCCGGTTCACGCAGACTTTAACGGTGTGCAGATACCAGTCCTGCACTGTCAAATTATTTAAGCCAGTAAATATATGTATAAAATACAGACTGTACAGCATTTACCTGATTTGCAGCTGTCCACAAGATCGTCCTCCAGGATGATGAGCATAGATCGAGGGATACTGCCCACTGACAGTTTCTGTACCTGTTGGTGAAGTAGTTGTTTTTTTTGTAGATGCTTTTACATTACATTTACATATTATTTTACTTAAAATTAGTTTAGTTTTATTTTAATTATATTTTATAAAATATAATTAAATGCTATTACAATATTATTTTATTTTAAAGGGGTCATCAGATGCCCATTTTCCACAAGTTGATATGATTCTTTAGGGTCTTAATGAAAGGTCTATAACATACTTTGGTTAAAATGTCTCAATGGTAGTTTAAAAAAAACACCCTTTTTACTCTGTCAAAATCAGCTCTGTTTTCAGCAAGCTGTTTTAGTCCATGTTGCTTTAAATGCTAATGAGCTCTGCTGACCCCGCCCCTCTCTTTTCTGGGGTGATGAGCAGATTGTAAACTTCAGCCTGCGAAACTTGCTAACTAGCACATATTAGGAAAGACGATTTGCAAAGATTCATAAAAAACCTTTATACTTCTTCTGTAGATGAAGCTGGATCACGAATGATTCATGCGAACATAAACACATTTAGGCAGATTGGGGATCGGCGCATTCCCTTCAAAGACGAAAGTAACGTTAATCCTGTGTGTCTTCAGCGGCTCAGATGTCAGGAGTAAATGACGACTGCTATGTTCATTATTACATCCAATAACAAAACACCTCAATCGCTTAATCGGAGACATTCTTGTCTTCCCCTGCACCGGAATCGACACAATGGCGGACAGCTAAGACGGCACTGTCAATCAACTATCGTGGGAGGGCCTGGGTCTGTGTGACGTCACACAGACAGGCATCTGAGATCGGCTCGATTTGAGAAAGGGGGGGAAAAACACTGGGGGGATCTTTATCATTATAGGGTGGTTGTGTACACCCACTGCTAACACACATTTCAGTTCAAACAACTTGTAAAAGTGCATGTTGCATCCGGTGACCCCTTTAAATAATTGTAATTTATATATTTTATTTAATATAATTTTCATTATGATGTCCTTTTTTTTGTTTGAAACCCATGGCATAAAGTCTCAGCCATGGACATCACGCCCACAGACCGTTGGTTGAATGTCTGATGCACAAAACACACAAAAACACTATGGAAGTTTCAAAGTTGTCATCTGCCAAACCCCATCTGGGAAGAAAGCTGAACTGAACTATTTCTTTAGCACCAGGTTGCTCCAGGGTGACTGCACATGAATAAACAACATCTCACCTGCTCTTGGATTTTGATCTCCTGGTAGTCCTTGCAGGCGGCCGGAGGGGCGTCACTTCCTGACAGGCAGGTGAATTTGAAACAATTACATCCCTCCTCATTGGGGCAGCTGGTGGGTGGAGTGAAGGTGTAAAACTGCTCAAAAGAGGCCTGCACGGAGAACACGTGCCTGCATTTATTGCACATGTAGTCTTTCTCATACTCCAGCACTTTAGTCACACTGGTGCGGATGACCGTGCCCGTGACGGACAGGAAGTGGCCCACGTCTCTAGCTTTAGGAATGTGATCTCTGGTCAGCTCGGGACACATAGGTAAACCTAAAAACATGTAGTAATGAAAGAAAATCATATATTGAATTGGAACAGCATGAGGGTGAGCAAATGTTGACTTTTTTGTTGACTATTTCAAATTAACCACCAGGTGTCAGTGTTATTCCACCACAGCATTCTAGGGCTCCTATTTGAGAAATTCTGTCTCCTACTGCTAGATAGCGCTGCATGTTCATTCATTAAAAGTTCAAAAGCAGAGTTACAGTCTCTTGCACTGTCTTGCATAATGAATCAACTCAGAGCGTGTTCAATATTTGAATATGACCTGGCCCGGCATGGTTGCATCATAGAAAAACATAAAAGAAAGAAGAATCAAAAACGTCAAAGTTTCTTAGGCAATAAAACTGCATTCACTTCTTCTTTCCCCTCTAACCACAGACACCGACTGCAGTGGCTATGGAGAAAGTGGGTTTCAGTAAAGTCTGTTTATTCGGATGAGTCACATCTGCAGGGCTATAGATGAAGAGCGTGTAATTACAGGTGACGGCAATCATCTCCTGCAGGACGTGAGAGAAAAGCACTTGGCTTCGCCACAATGCAATACGACCATCCCACATACCTCAGGGATCAAACACAAGCCTACACGTCATCTAAAACAACCTTCACACTCTTGCCTTCTATGTCAGTCTGCTGTTTTTAGATAAGCGGATTAGGGCTGGGCAAAACACTGAATATTCAAGAGATTTTCATGATCAGGATTTTGATTAAAAGCACCTTTGTGAAAACTGCACTGATTTTAAGGATTTTGGCCATTGTGTTTCTCAAATATATTGCCTCATTAGACAAGAACACAAAGTTTTTTAAAAGCACAAAACAAAATTCCTGAGAGAATTATTTTCGTCGTTAGAATCAGCTATTTATTTATTTTTTTAAATGGAACAGCATCTCTGATTTAAATTTCTGCAACACAAACAGTATTCAAAGTTTGTACTTGTATAATCACTGAAAAATGTACACAGAAATTTTTTATGCATTTCTCTATATACACACACACACGAGTTAAATAATGTTGGTAACACTTTACAATAAGGTCCCGTTTTTAAATATTGATTAATTAATTATATTAGTTAACGTGAACTAGCAAAGAAAAATACAGTAACACTTTATTTTAAGGTGTCCTTGTTCCACGTTACATGTACTTACTATTGTAATAACAATAAATTATGCATAATTACATGCAAGTAACCCTAAGCCAAACCCTAATCCTAACTCTATCCATATAGTAAGTAGTACATGTAGTTAATTAATATTACTCAGTACTTAAATGTATATTTACACTGTAAAAAGGACACCTTAAAAAAAGTGTAACCAAAAATACTTCTAATCCATCTATTAATCTTAGTTCATGTTAATTCCTAAATTTAATAATGCATTATTAAAAGAAGTGTTAATACTATTTAATGGGCCTGAGCTGGCATGAACTAAAACCAAACACAACTGATAGCAGCTCTCAGTGATATGTGTCGGGTCCCCGCTACGATAGCAGCAACACTCACAAATGTTTACAGAACGAGCGAGAACCCAGTGTGACTGTAGCTTTCTCTATTTCGGTTTTATCACGTGACAGAAAGTCTAAGGCCTTCTCAAGCCGTACGGCTGACCCATGTAATCTGCGGCCTATTATGCATCAAACTAAGATTGCTGTAGAGACAAAAATAATGCCATCAAGTTAGCATTTTTAAACATTCGCTCACTAAAAAATAAATCATTTCTGATCAATGACTTAACCACAAACAACCAGGATTTTAAGTTTCTAAACGAAACATGACTAGAAGACAGCTGCAGTGCAACAGTCCTCAATGAAACAGCCCATCCTAACTTTACTTTTATAATTGTCTGCAGGACTGTTAGAAGAGGTGGAGGTGTAGCTGCTCTATTTCAAGATGTTTATCAATCAGGGCTGAACGATTAATTGCATTTGCAATTGTATTGCAATACACTCGGTCACGTGACACGCGAGAGTAAAGAAGTGTGTGCGACTTGAAGATCGATCGGTGTATGACATCAAAGTAAGGCGAGAGAAAGCACAAGGAGACGTCCGCTCTCTTATAGCTCTCGCAGTACTTTGATGACACACAC